ACACACACACACACACAGGCACATACAGGCACATAAAACCAGCCCCCCCTCCTCTTCGCCCGGCCCCGTGCGGGAGCCGATGCCGTGCCCATCCGTGGGGACCTGGGACACGCGTTCCAGTCCAGCGCCTAGGGACATCAGGATGCCAGCACACGCACCGCCATCAGCCTGCGTGGGCGTTGTTTTTATCTGTGCCTCAGTGAGGTTATGGGAGAACCGGAGGCGAGGGGCGAGGGGGATCAGCAATCTGCATTTGCGGGTGTTTGTCGATCAGGCCGGGGGCGTCCAGCCGAAATGGCTTCACTGCGCCGGGCCGTGCCCCCGCCGCAGCTAAGCGTCCACCTCCTCCTCCTCCCCCGCCTCTCGCCCTCTCCACTCCTTCTCCCTTGTGCCCGGGGGCAAATCAGTTTGCCCCCCCCCCTCCCCCCACCGGGTCCTCCTTTCCATCCCTCCCTCCCTCTCTCTGTCTCTCTCTCTCTCTCCCTCTCACTTTTGTCCGCTCCACCTCCATGTCACGACAGTTTGGCCAGCAAGCTCGAGATGCCTCACAGTCCTCACTGGCAGCCAGCCAGGTCGCACCCACGTCGCCGGCCTCGCCGCATCGCCTTCGACCTACTCCATCTCGACTGGCTCTAGAGCGGGCTCAGAGTCGGACAGCCGTTTGGCGCCTCCCCTCGTACGTGCGCCCGACATTTCCACATATGTTCTCTCTCTCCCCCCCCCCCCCTGTCTCCCTCTCTTTCTCGCCCTCTCTTCGCCTTGAATCATCGTCTTGCAGCTGACACATCACATACCTCGAAAGACATGGAGGCGGCGGGTCTCTCCTTTCCCAGGAACCCACAGCCACAACCACGGATGGGTCGGAAGGCGGGGTGCCTGGCACCGCGCCCAGCCCACAGCGACGCACCGGGCCTCCCTTCTTTCGCCTGGTCTGCTCGCTACGCTGTCTCATGCTGACGGTGAATGTAACTGTCATCGCCGTGTGCATGGCCATCATCACCTCGGTGTGTGTGATCGAGGCCGAGGTACCCCACATGCTGGCATCCCCTCCTTGCATGCCTCTCCCCAGGCGAGATATTTACCCGCCCCTCCCCTCCTCCCCCTGCGGCGATTTGGCCCCCAGCGCTTTGCCTCGATTTCACTTGAGCAAGTGGGCACCAGCCAGCTGACGCATGCCATGTCCACACTGGAAGATGTGCTCACGGCTGTCGGCCGTCGGGCGGCTGCCGCCCATGGCATTGCCCTGACCACTGGCTTGGTTCCTGGGGCTGACCCGGATTCGGAACTTTCCTTGGCATGGGCATCATCACTGCTGCGCACGGTTACAGGGCCGGACCATTCGGTTTCGGCATTGCTCAAGGACCCCGACCTCGAAAGGGACTTTTCCCCGGTCGGCATGGGCGCTGCTCGTACTGTGGAGGGGCCGACCTCGGCTCCGGGAGACATCCAAGCCACATTCGCCAATGATCGACGCCTCTCCTGGGATGGCTACCTTCGGGAGGCATTTGCCATCGATCTGGCAAGCGCCGCCTTTGCCGGCGTGCGCCGAGTCTTCCTCGGCCAATGGGGCTTCAATGAGATTGCCTCTCTGCCGGACATGCCGGCATTTGTGCTTCGGTCACGAGCCGATCCGCCATCCTATGCGCTGGCCCACCTTTCAGATGCCGGCCAGCCGGTGCCACCTGGACTGCCTGGCGGTGTGGCGCGAATCGCCCGTCTGATCGTGAAGCCGGAGTGCGGTGAATACACCGGGTCAGCCTCAGGATCAGGGTCAGCCTCATCACTGATCTCTGCCTCTGCCTCTGGGATATCTTCCACCTCCTCGAGCTCGATCCCCTCTTCAGATTCCTCTCCCTCCTCGCCGGGGTCGGCCTCCTCGCCGGGGTCGGCCTCCTCGCCGGGGTCGGCCTCCTC